TACTAGCTTCTGGCTAAAGCAACTAAAATCTCTCACCAGCAAAATACCTCGTCAGTTAAATGCAATTTTACGCTTCATTACTATACGATACAGTATTTATTATCATTATAGTATACTATTTTGACGATTAGATAAAATATAAATTATATTTGATGCAACTTTTGTTAAATTTCCATGACTTTTCCAAAACTTTGAGAAGAAAAAATGGAGCACAGTGAAATGTATTTCCAGTACATACGAAATCCAATTAACTAAATTAGGTTTATCATTTTTAAAGATTGTTAGGTGTTTTTGCAATTAATACAATCTGATCTTTTTTAGTGTTAAATAATTGGATTACAGAAAAAATACATTCTTGGGTCATTCCAGAATTGGAGGACATTTCATGTCCCCCATATAAAAAATCTAATAATCCATGCCCAAAATGCTAAAACATGCACTTGTTGTGTTAAACATACTTGTCTTGAGACAAAATGTGTATAAAATTGTAGAAAAAGTGGTTTCAAAATATTATTTAAATTATCAAATAGCTCTCGAACATGGGGATGTTCGAGAGCTATTTGATAATTTAAATAATATTTTGAAACCACTTTTTCTACAATTTTATACACATTTTGTCTCAAGACAAGTATGTTTAACACAACANTGGCAGGACAGCCACCACAGCGTTACCTAATGCAACTCCACACTACGTCTTACGGTGCCGTGTACCGGAGGGGAGAGAGAGAGAGCAGCGAAGGGGGGTGGGAGAGAGAAGTAATACGGTTTCCTGATAAAGCTGTGGAGAGTATGTGCTGCAGGGATGCACAACGCACCCAGGAACGAACGCTAGCTCCGGTCCTTTTTACTGTGGACTCGATGTCCTGACAGGCTGGTATTTGTGCAACCTGCACAAACACAATACTGCACCATGATTACAAATGGTGAAATACAATGTAAAACTACCGAAAAATACCAGCTCACTAAAACACAACCGCTCTACTCAACGCAACTACTAACTATACCCGCGGTCAGAGAGCGGAGATGTGTCCCCTTTGTTATGTAATACGACGCGTTTGACATATGACCTTAAAAAAAAGCCGTTTTTAAGAGTAGAGCTCAAAATTGCTCCTTTCCCTCTGAATTCCTGCCCTTATGTCTCGTAAAACATATCAAATCCTACATTCACTTTTTTAATTATAATTTTCAAGCAAGTTTAAGCATAAATGTAGAAAGAAAAAAAACCTGCAAGATGCTCTTTAAGAGAGCCAAGCCAAATGATCCGGCTCACAAACATAAAAAGACAGTATCTATAAGGGACGGCTCAAGTCAAAATTCAAAACAACCCCCCCCCCCCACACTCTCGGGGTGGATGCCCTCTCAGCCCTGGCCTGGCGGAAACACTGGGTTGATTATCTGTGGTGTTGGTCTGACAGCATATACATGTGGTACATATATCATTTTGGTTAGTATACTTAAATAATAGTCTAAAGTTTTATCATTATTTATTTGTTGTTTAAAGTGTTTGAGATGAAAAAGAAAAAAAAATCCAAATTTAAGAAGATGGCATTATATAGAGAAGTAGAATATGTACTTAAAATAGCAAATAAAGCGATGCATTAGTTTAATATTATTTAAGAGTTGATAACGAGCTGATTATTTAGTTGCAGCTCAATTTACAGTTGAAGTTGAAGGGATTAGTTGATGATAAAATATTATAACTCCAGTCTTTCACTCGCCTGATGAAATTGTAAAGACAAATATACTAAGGATGCACAATAAATACAAATAAAATAAAAGTCGCAATATGGACTGCGCAATATTCAAATCGCAGGAAGCACAATATTTGCTAAAAGACTTTGTAAGCCAGGTTACATTTCATTTCAAATGGTGATTTAACAAACAGTATTCTACAGACTTAAATGAAGATAATTGTTTGGCACCGATCCTTCTTTAAAAAAAAACATTATCATTTCACGTATTATCAAAAATGATCAATCCCTCGAAAATTGGGGATCTAATCGCAACACACTCGATATACCTTGATAAGCCTGTTTACAAGCCTCACAAACAAAAAAAGTAGATGTAGTGAAAAGCTTTGGAGCGGTACCTCTTGTCCGGTGAGGAAGAGCAGCAGGTCGCCTTCATCCACCTCGCACATGTGGATCTGGACCACGGTTCGGATGGCCGCCTCCAGGTAGTCCCGCTCCGGTTCGGGGGTGTAGAAGATCTCCACGGGGTGGGTGCGCCCGGGGATGGTCAGCAGTGGACAGTTGTCAAAGTACACCTGGAACTTTCCGGCGTCGAGCGTGGCACTCATGACGATGACCTGCGGAAGAGAACGGGACAATGTATTCGCGAGAGAGGAGAAGGGAAGGGTAAAAGCAGGGAGTGGAAAAGACTGTGGTGATTCCGGGCACTCAAGTGTACAATGAGTGTTATTTATATAGCTTGATGATAATTGAGGATAAGGACACATGCTAAGTGCTGCAACAGAATCCAGAGTAGATGGATAATGCTTTGAATCGCAATTTAGGATGAGGGCCTCGGCACGAACCCAAGTCGGTGTCCGCGTGAACAACTTGGCACCACCCTCCAAGTGTCTGACCTACACAGAGCGATGACAGTCCTTGTTCCTGATGTTGGGTACACAATGTTCCCTCTGGAGCCATTAGCTGTGGCGCATTAGGATTCTGATGGGGAAACTCGTCTCCCATTTTCAATCCCAAACATTTTCAGGGGCCAGTGTCTCGGCATTTCGCTTTACGCTCTGCGAGGCATCATAATTGCTCTTAATCAAGGCAAATTAAACTTTCAAATTTGGTAGGGGATAGGGATGGAGGAGATGGCGGGGTGTGGGTGGATGATCATTCCCAATAACCTAGACCTCATTTAACAGTCGGCGAACAACAATCTAACCTTTGATTCCTCGCTGACATACAACCAGTCATTATCCATCTGCTTTATGAGAATTATGTGAGGCGCAGTCTGCCCATAAAACCTCTGGCTGCCTGTGCAGACACATCACCATTTCCCCCCCCGGTTGATTGGCCTCAAATGGGACTGACTCCACTACTACTGCTTTTCTCCCTCCTCAACATGTACACAGCTGTCAGACACAGGGACACTGTCGGGAGGACTGTGACAAAAGGGAGGGATGACAGAGGAGGGATATAAACTCTGACTGTCACTGAATTTATCCTGCAGTTTGAGGCTTTAACAGCATTTTGAAGGCGTTAAGTAGAAACAAATCAGACTACTGTCAAGAGTACTGCCGACACCAAGTCTAGAGATAACACCAAATAAATGCTAGACCTGATTTTCCAGAATAAACAGGGTGTATAAAGAAATACTTTAACCACAAAACAATCATTTCTTATATCATGTACTACCCATGTAGCTCTTCAACGCTACATTATTGATGAATTTAAGTAAATGGGGGCTGAGCGTAACAACAAAGGGCGGCAAAACGATGTCAAAACATCCGTTCACCATTTCTCCCAGAACGTTTGCAGTATAATCCAAGTCTGATCTAGCCAATTGGATACTCACTAAATCACAAAAAATGATTTTTTGTTCGCAAGTAGTGTTGTATCGCTTTTGCTTTTGTTAAATGTGGCTTCTATTTGTTTTAATTCATCAGGAATGTTCTCAGTTTGCGCATCTTTGTTCACGTTGGGGGTGAAGCATCTTTTAAAGGTTAAGGAACTCTCAACCTTTGAAATGACTATCAAAGGGTTGCAATCTGTAAACCCTGAGGCCACAAAGGAAAGGATTTGTTTTGATATAAATACAACAAATGAACGTAGCTTGTTATTCTTACCTTGAGGTCAGCCCTCTGGCGGACGACCTCCTTGAGGACCCCCATGAGGATATCTGTGGCTAACGTGCGCTCGTGGGCCTCATCCAGGATGATGACACCGTAGCGCTCGAGCAGAGGATCGTTCATGGCCTCCCGCAGCAGCCTTCCATCTGTCATGTACCTGAACACAAGTCACGCAGGCTCAATCAGAACATACTGTTAAAAAGGATATAAATAGCCCCACCCCCGTGTAAGGAGCACGGCATTCATATCGTTCTAGGATTTCTACAATGCGGGAAATGGGACAGAATAGCAACATGTGATTCAATCAACTGTATAGTGCTGAAGTTGCCAAAATGTTTGTGCACGTTTAGGATATATTTTTGAGGCTCCTGTTAGGATTATAAGCTCCTACTCTAATCAACTCCTCCAGATATCAGCTGTAGCTGTGTGATTGTTTTTGTTTGTTTGAATAAAAGCGAGCCAAGAGGAATCACTGTAACCATGTTTCTTACTTGAGCACCGTCTTGGCAGAGCTGCAGTCCTCAAACCGGATGGCGTAGCCCACCTCTTGGCCCAGCATCACATCCATCTCATCGGCGACCCTCTGGGCGACGCTCATGGCGGCGACCCTGCGAGGCTGGGTGCAGGCCACCGCTCTCTTCGGACCCTCCACTGCCAGCACCATGTCCCCACACCACTGAGGGATCTGCAGGCAGCAAGACAAGTCTGGTTGTGATTGAGTACAAATGGCATCTTTCAGGTGGAAACTTCTTTGCTATAAGTTATAATCATGCAGTTAATGCTGATTGCACATCACCATGGACATAATCGTGCAGCCCACGTTGTCGAGAGCAGCACGTTACGGCTACACTTTCACAATAAAAGCCTGTGGCATATACTCTGGATCCATGCAAACCAGAGAGCTTTACGCAGGCAGGAGAGGCACCTCAAAGAAATAGCTTACAGAGAGCCCACTTCACGGAGGAGGAAAGAAAGAGGGGTTTCTACTTCTTGCTTTGGAAAGACAGGCTGCTAGTGGAAGACACTTTGCCAACAATACTTTAACAAGTAGATCGATCCTCTTCTACAAATTAAAATCAACAAACAAAATATGTTTAATTCAGTTTGTTTAGAAACTTTGCTCAAGAAGCACCAACAATAATACCATTTGTAAATGCTAGGGGGGAGTAAACTGTATGTGTCAACTTTAAATGAAAATTAAATGTGTGAAATGAACGAAGATGAAGTGAGTCAGCGGGTGTAGTGACAATTTTGTTATGAAAACAAAAAGGATTTCTAAGTACTACTTTAAAATGCATTACAACAGCTTGCTATGTCCTGCAAAGCATATACCCGATGGCCAGAGACAATTCATACCCCACCACTTGTCCACTGATGTTTGGAGGAATGTCTATGTTTTTAGCATTTCACAATAATGTAAGCTGCATTTTTATTAAAACAAATACAGAACAATTGTGAAAGGGACGTTTTGCCTCAATACAATTCCTAATATTCTCGCTTAAATTGTAAGAAATACAAATAAATATCTAATTTAAATAAACAGCTGATTTAAAAACAAACAAACCCTTCCTTATTCCGTTTGTATTTGCAGAGGTGACCAAAAACGTAACATTCCTTGAAAGTCTGTTTGAAAATTCACGATGAATGAGTGGAATACAAATGGTTTCTCGCATCATTAAGGCAGAGTGCATTACACCACTATATTTAACAAGTGGTGGAAGAGTGGCTTGTTTTCCCCTCAGGAGAGGACTGAGGCTCAACCACTGATTTACTCTAATCTTCTCTCTTTCAGATTTTAAAAAACAGACAACCCCGCTCTGCTAAGAACTTTAAATACACTTAAAGGAGACATGTCATGCTTTTCCGGTTATTACCCGTCCCCTTGTGTGATATGAAGGTTTTTATGCATGTAAACGGTCTGCAGAGTCAAAAACCCTCAAAGTACACCCTGTAGCCAGTAAAACTCTAGTAACACAGAAAATACCTCCCCAAAACGCCTCGTTGGAGATTTCAAATGTTTCATTGTTTACCTCCTGGGTATCGCTACGTAGGGATACCCATTAGCCACGCCCAGAGCTATGACCAGGCTGATTGGTCCAAATTAACCAATCCACAGACTTCCTCACACACACACACACTCAGTGCAGGCAGCTCTGCTGATCTCTCCTCCCTGGCTGCAGTCTGATAACAGACGGTTGGGATCGCGGCGAAATTCTCTCTGCAGACCCATTCTCAAAGCGTTTATCAACCTTTTTCTTACTCAATATCAAGCCACACTTATTGTTTTTACTTCGGCTGTCACTTTGTGTGTGCTCAGGGTGAGTTTGACTGTGTATCACTAAACAAGGAAACAACACCTCCACGGAGCTCAGGCCGATTCACAACGTCCCGACCAATCAGAGCACACTGTGCTCACAGGGAGGGTGGGGGCTGGAGCTATTGGAGCTATAACGAGCCGTTAAAGGCAGAGAGTGAAATGTAGTGAATACACGTAGTTTACAGAGATGCTGTATGAGAAACCAATGAGTTTGGAAAATTGCACAATATAAATCTATTCTAGTAGACCTCAACAATGGAATTATGATCAGTGGAAATGGCCATGACATGGGACTTTTAACAACGAAAGTGTTTGAAATCCATCAGCTGTTCGTGGCCCATTTGAGTGTATTCACTACTGAAACCGTTCAAGTGCCGGTACCTGTGTGGTTTTCCCAGATCCCGTCTCCCCGACAAGGACAAAGCACTGGTTCTGCATGAGGATGTCGGTGAAGCGCTCTCTGTACTCCCACACAGGCAGCTGCAGGCGCTTCTTCAGGATGTCGTAGTAGCGAGGCGTGTGGGGCAGGTTGGTGTAGGGGTTGGTCTGCTGCTGGAGGGAGGGCTGTTTGGAGAAGCCCCCACTGCCAGACGAAGCCACGCTGCGGGGCACGCTGGAGGGCTTCACGTCTCTGTCCCGATCCCTGGGCCGGTCATCGCGCTCTCTGTCGCGGTCACGCCTGAGGGAGAAGGATGCAGGAAGTCAAGATTTGTTGAGCAAACATATTAGGGCACGACTTTTGCTGATATTGCAATATGATTCACGATAATGGAGGAATAGTTTTTTTCAATATTATTCACAGATATATTAAAAATGATCACGTTGTGATTTTTTTTAAGGATGATCTGTAACAATCAGATATTTCTTAAATCTGTGGAATATGATTTGTAAGCCACGACATGTCTGCAGCAACACAAGTCTTAATCAATGATTATATTTTCACATATTTTACAATTAAGAGATATTGCACGCGAGTCGATTTGGATATTGCACTAATAACAATTAACTATTTGGTCTATAAAATGCCTGAAAGAGATCTGACGTTCTCAGAGAACAAGAAGACTTCTTCAAATGACTTGTGTTGTCCACTTTCAGTTTTACCGCCATAGGAAAAAAAACATGGTTTATCCTGAAAAATGACCAATATCATGATGGAAGGTTTTGGTTATACTGCTCAGCTCTAAACAATAAAACCCCAAAATGCCTGTACACTCCAAAAAACTCCACAGATTTAACATTCTGCCTGAGAAATGGAAAAGATTTGACTAAGCACACAGACGAATGTTAGCCCATGTCAAGTTCATTTCTTCAAATTGAATGAAAAGGTTACTGCGCATTTGTATTCACTTCTACAAAAACCACTGCCTAATCAAGTGTAACATGCAAAGGTCATGAGTTAACCGCCACAATCCCCAAGTGTGTTCTCCTATTGCAATAAGATGTATTTTACAGCTTCAGAGCAGAATGAGAACCATTTATATCCTCACATTATTTAGACAACGATGATGTGTGGAGCTCTGTTGCAACGCTTATGTGTGAATGAATGGCATTTCATGATAAATGAGGGTTTGAACATGGAAGTGCAGGTTAACTTTAACCTGCTGGTTCTGACAGTCTAAATCACAACAATTGACTTTAATACATCATAAAACTGAAATATTAAGTAAATATCCATATTTGAGAGACAAATTTAGATAAATTACTTTAATGAGTTACAGCTGTTGTTACTTTTGTGTCCACAATAAAACTCAATGTCTATTGAATGTTTTAACTTCTATTTACTACTCAGTTTTGACTAAATGTATGATATATCTACAGAGGGACAGAAATGAATCAACAAAAGTGACGCAAGGCAAGACTAGTAGATAGATGAGTATAGTGAAGCCAGACATAAGTAGTAGAGAGATGAGGATAGTGAGGCAAGACGTGACTAATAGAGAGATGAGCATCATGTTGTTTTCTGGATGTGCACATTTCTTCTCATGTGAGAGCGGCATTATGTACATTGGATGATGCGAAGCTCTTTTGTATAAACATTACGCACTTCTTCGTTGAGTATTAAATAATCGATGTTAACTTAATGGATATCATGGTTCAATTACCGATGTTCTAATAGTTTCTAAAAGGTCAAATCGGTTCAAAAATCTCTGAGGCAATGACTCCGAGCGCACTCTCCGTGAAGTCGACAAGTTTATTCGCCTCAACCGTGGTCCTCTAAATAATAAAGCCGTATCCTGTCTGGTTTACGTTATTTTTAACGCATTTTAATGTCATTTAACATCTTCACAGAGAGCTGACACTAGTGGCAGTTACACCTGACAGCTAACAGGCTAGCATTACCCTGGCTAACTGTCCTGTGTGCAGCTTTACTTCGTCATTCTGTCCCCTAAACATGCCACAACAACCAGGAATTCCTCATGACATGTCGACTTTGTCTCATGAAACGTAGCGTTGTCTGCTCACTTCTATTAAACACACGGGGCTTTACGGTAGCTCGTAACCACGTGCAGTCTGTTTGCTAACATAGCTAATTAGCCACTCGGCAAGCTACATAACAGTAGCAACCGTTCACAGCTAGCTTTTCAGTCTGTATCGGAACAACCATGCAGTTCAACCACTGCCTAAGCTAACTTGCTAGCTAAACTTGTGTAAACGTTTGCAACACGACAATAACAGCGAACATTCCAACAACACGTACCTATCCGAGGGTCTCTTTTTACCCGGAGAATAATCATCGCCCAAATCTACACGCTGTCGTCTGGACATCCTTCCACCGGGTTCCCTCTCAGCTTATGTATCCTCCTGCAGACTTTTACCCCAAACCCGTTAAACACCATGCAAAATGGCGACCGGAAACTCTTACCTCATTTTTTATTGTCCTTGTGCAAAATGTGTAGAACTCAGTGCTTTTAACTGAGAAAGCTCCAGGCTTTACTGAGACATGCACATTATGTCCAGAAACTATTGCAGTCCTGTAGATCTGATGCAGCATTTAAGATGCTGATATCAGTGTGATGATGCTGAGCCCGCCGAAAAACACACGCACGCGCACGCGCGCACACACACACGCACACAAACACACACACGCACGCACACACACTCCCAGCCCGAAGCATCACTGCAGCAGGCTTACTGCAACAGGATCACTGCAAACATTATTCACATATTGCATGAGTAATGAGAAAAAGCAATGGTGGGAAGTTACTTGGTGCATTTTCCAAATTCCTTTACTTGTTAAATTATGAACACGTTCTGCTAAAAATACAATTTAGAGACCTCTGATTGTACTTTTTACTCCACTACTACATTTATCTGACGACTTTGAAGATTCATGTTAAGATTATTAATGCTAAATAATCAACAGACAATATATCATATTGTATTATGATAGGTGACACACAACAACGTTTTTGATCTCTTGGTGGAATTTGCAAGGTACTCAGCAGTAGGCTATAGTAAAAAAAAAAAACAACACAAAAACATTTTTAATAAACCATGTTCCATCATGCATGATAAGTATATTTTGGAATATTAGTATTTATGTTAAATAGATGTTGATGCTAATACTTTTGACTTTAGAAATATTTTAATCACAGGACTACTACTGTACATATTTTTACTGTAATATAATCATTTTCATCCGTTTATTAGTGACTGTTATTTTATTATATATTGACTGTTGTGCCTTTTTATTTTGTATTAATGCAGGTATTTGCATATATATGATTTGTGTGTGTGTGTGTATATATATATATACTGTATATATATTATTTTAGATATTTAATTGATATTCCTCGGGATTGTGAGAAACAGCATTTTGATGTCCATGTCTGTATCTCACACAGAAGATTGACAATAAAGTTGACTTCTGACTTCCTCTTCACTTACAACTCTTCATAGCTTCAGGGCTGTATCAACTATTTAAACTGTATGTGGGAATGCAGCAGACAACTGCAGTACAAACATTTCTTCCCAGAATGATTATGAAGTACCTGTCCTGTAGTTTAAACGACTGCAGACATGCACAAACAGCAGGGAAAGTGATGGTCATTTCTCAACTATGTTAGAAGAGCTAAAAACCCTTCTTTCAACCTCTACAATTATAAAGTGATGAATAATCTGTCACTGAAGACAATCATTGCCGTTGACACAGGTAATTACACAGCCTGGACATTGCTAACAAGCTGCATAATGGCAAATGGCTCATTGCTTATAGCTGGGGGATTGATGGTGATGGATAAGTCAACGCTACAACAAAGTCATCATCCTTACATATGCATTGGTAATATAAAATACTGGGGATTTCCCATCTTTCTGACTGCCTAACTTTCATAGGCTATTAAATATCAGTCCAGCCGTGTGAAATAGCTCTGGCCGCTGAGGACTGATCACTGCTCAAACAGTACTGTAACCACAGTTTAAGAGAACTGGACGTAAAAGGTTAAAAAGTGGAAATATCTTTGTGCAAAAAATAAAATACTCATTATACACTGTCCTAGTTAGTACTCTTGCAAAGTTTGAGAGAGAATTGCAACAGCAAGATCACATAATGAAGTGATCCCTGTTTGATAGTGAAAAAAAAAAGACAACGCTATTCTGTAAATGCTCATCCTTCCAGGAACTGCAGTGAGTTGTAATCATTACCAAAAGATGCATCATTACATTTTTTCAGCTATTTCTGTGAAATCTGAGACAGATGATTGAAGAGTAGCTCATTATGGAAGAGCCCAGGATAAGTTTGGCCCAACTCTGATTCTCCTGCTTGGGGGAGGCAGCAAATCTCACATCAATGATATCACATTGGCCCTGTCAGCTCTTATCAGACGGGCCCACCATCTCCTATCCTAATAGAGATCTCCTGCTTATCGTCCGGCGTCCACCAGCTTACGTTCCTCCAACAGTCGCTGATGGCTGCCAGCAGGGCTCTCGGAGCCTTTTTGTCCTTACTGCAGTCCGTTTCTAGAAAATCTACTGAGGTAGGCTTACTGAACTGAGTATTCAGAGTTGAAGGAAACTATACTAATATAAGGGCTAAATGTTTCCTGTTATGGGAATAAGTATTTACCTATGTTGTTTTAAGGATATCGTTTTTAAAAATACAACTACTTGGGAGAGTAGATGACAATATGGGTACCATTCTTTTATCAGTGCAGAAAGTAGAGTTAGCTTAGCTTAGCATAAAGACTTTAAATAAAGGGAAACAGCTAACCTAGTTTAGCAGCTTCGAGGGAAGACAAATGTTCTGGTAACCTTCTCACACACAGCAAGATAACCATTGTGTGTACCCCAATATAACATAACAGAGAGATTTAGGATGTTTTTTCCCTTTATATTTAAAATGTGCACGATTACCATATTGCTATTTGGCAGCTGCTGAGTCATGCACAGCGTAATTGCAGTAAGAGCAAACCAAGCAAATGATGCACATCATATCTATGATACATTTGAATGATCAACTCCACATGAAAAAAGCAGGGGAAAGATGACTGACATATTGCACCTGCTTTTTCCCCTCTTTGGTCTATTATCTCAGATAATAACAGCCTTGTCAGCAACAGAGCAGAAAGTTACACTCCTCAAATCGAGCACCCTGGGACCAAGCTGCACTCGAGTGTCTCCGAGGTGCCACATGATGAAACTCAGGTAAGCGTAAAAAAGCAAGGTGAGCAAATGAAGCATGGATCATAAGGGCATTGACCATCAGTGGAGGGGCGTCTGGTTGGTATAGTAATTAACCCTGCGAAAGGGGTTGGCCTGGAAACTGCTGGCTCCACATGCCCCTGTCCACCCCCATCCCTCAGACCTTTGGAGCATCCACAGATGAGGGGGAGTCAAACCCTCCCTGGTGGTCACACTTATTAGAGCCGCTGAGCACTGCTTTGACCCACTCCTCTCTCTCACTCTGCAGGGTGAGATAGCTGGAGGGATCAGAACAAAGCCACTTCATACTGTGATATCATAAGATTAGTGGTTTTATGCTGACAACCCATCTACAAAGCTACAGGAATCACACGCAAATGATTTCTCCGTGATCACTCTTTGAAGAACAGATACAGAGAGGAGAACACACACCTAAATCATCTGACAGCAACCAATCAAAGCACTTCAAAATGCACATTTCTGGCGGGAAAAGCCCTGAAAGGGAAGAGAGAAAGAGTAGTGATCCATTGATTAGGTCTGATGTAAAACTGTGTTAATGACTTAAATGGGCCAGTAATATTGAGGTGCAAAATTAAACGTCAGTAATGACATAATTGTATGTTTATTCGTATATATTAAGAATACACTTTTGTTCAATTTACAGCAGTGGGATTTTTGTGAGATTATGACCATTCCGGCCATAGTTACAGAAGGGGTTCCAAATCTGGCAGAAATAATGCCAGCTCTGCCAGATTTAGAAACATCACTTTAATTGAATTGTTCACATTATACTGTGGATCATCCTTCATCAGATAGATCTTCCCTACATCAGAGAAACGATCTTTGGCTTTCATATGGATGCCAAAATAAAAAAACGCTCAATGACTTTAAAAGAAACCCAATACAACCTGGTATCATCTTGCAATTCCATTATTTTAGACTCCATCTGGTTTTATAAACTTAAAAACGCTTGCTGCTTTGTGCCAAATCAGCTGCCTGGCACTGTACCGACGCTGTACACAGCATGGCTCCAAAACTCAAATTATTTTCCTCGCCTCTATTTTGTGTCAGAGATTAAAAATAGCAAGTGGCCTTCTGCAGAATAAGCAGTTCATGGATTCTGGCTTAGACACAGTTTTCCTGGAGAGGCCAGCTGTCACCTGCGTGCCTCTCTACACACTGGGCATTATATTGGCTTGTAATCAAAATGGGCGTTCATCCTTTTTACAGTTACTGTATGGCAAAATGTCCTAACTTTGTTTTTTAAGTCATACAATTGGACTGAGATGCTTCCCCTGCGCTAGGTGGCATATGTATTTACATTGAGCTGCAATAAAACCTTCTCTGGACACAAAAAAGTTGAATTCAGGGAAAAACTCAAAATGAAAATAATACCAAAAATCAATGTTAATGAAATTTCAAATCAGATTTCAACATATCTATTGTAACTGTAGCTATATGATGTCAGAACAATTCCCTCTCAAAGCTGGAAAGAAGAGAATCAAGCTAAGCCGCACTAATCTGCAAAACAATCAAAAGACGGAGACTGCTGCATTCAGAATTAATGAGACCAACCTTGTGAACATATAGAATTGAGAGAGAGAAGAGATTTGCTGCCGATATGGGCTCATTTTCTGGTGCAGAAAATTGATATCAAACAAACCTCATCAGTGTGTGAAAGCTCAAACAAATATAAGTTCACAAAGTCAGCCACAAGTTTAGATCAGAGGAAGTTCCTGTCTGCGTGGAAACAAATATAAATCAAAAACGCTCTGTCAAAGTGTTTTTGTTTTGTATGTGCATGGGTCAGAAAATACCAACTTCATATTGCAGGTTTATGCAGTTTATATGAATAAATACCAGTGTTTCCCACATATAAGGCACATGTAGTGTCATCCAAATAAATAAAAAATAAATAAAAATAAAAACTCACTGATTCACCCGTACAGATGGATAAAAAATCAATAGAATCTGTAATATTAGAGTTATTCATTTACACATAATGTACAAAGCACATTCTTCTCAATTTTTGGTAAGTCAATTAAGACCCCCTATGAGATTAAAAGCTCTCAGTTAGTGGCATCCCTTAGGAGGAAGAAGAAAGCAAACATTTGGGATTATCGAATCGCACGGGGAGGACGGAGGGAGGCTGCCATATTTGTTATTCTCGTAACTCTTCCTGTAGGGCATGAAGTTTGCAACTCCA